TAATATAAAAGAAGGGTGACAAGGAGGACCTCAAGAACTACAGACCAATCTCACGTCTCACAACGCTTTACAAAATCCTAGCAAAGCCATTAGCAAACAGAATCGTAAAACTAACAGACAAGTGCTTTCACATCGACCAAGCAGGTTTCATTCCGGGTCGATATATCCTGGATGATAATGTGATGGCTCTAAACGAGGCAACGAAATCACAAAAAAATGGATGCAAACGGTTACCCTATTCTTCGATTTTAAAAAGGCCTACGATCAAGTCAATTGGGACTTCCTACATAGTTGTAAGGAGAAGATGGGAGTCGGGCCAAACTTCAGAGAGTGGGTAAGAGTGCTATATGGGGATGTCACGGGCAAGGTGCAGATAAACAAAATAATGTCAGAAACCTACCCGATATCGAGATCGGTCCGTCAAGGCGACCCCCTTGCACCCCCAATATTCTTGTTCATAATGGAAGTCATGGCATCTTTCCTCCACAGGGATTAATCCATAAACCGCCTGGCTGTACAAAACAACCCCCTCCACGACTTCGTTCTCCCCACCGCACGTATGTTCGCGGATGATCCCACGGTCCCCATTCGCGCTAGTAATTCCTCCTTCCAGGCCCTGGCCCGCGCTATGGAAGCCTTCAAACTCTCCTCATAAATGAAGGTAAACTGGTCGAAAACAGAAGGGTGGTGGCTTGCAGAAGGCAACCCCCCCAACCCCCAGACTCATCCACCCCAATGTCATGGACCACAGGCGACCAAGCACTCTGATACCTGGGCATCATGGTAAATAGAGATGGCATCTGACAAGGTATGGGAGAGATTTTAATCGCCAGAGCTATAACCCGTTTAGCCAGCCGCAACAAAGCCAAGGCCTCCCTGCTAGGAAGAGCCCTGATCATCATTACAACAGTATTCTCCACCCTGTGGTACATGGCTTCCATATGGTCCCCTCCCGATGACGACCTGAAGAAGCTGAAGGCTAGAGCCAGGTGTTATCCCGATGACGACCTGAAGAAGCTGAAGGCTAGAGCCAGGTGTTATCCCGATGACGACCTGAAGAAGCTGAAGGCTAGAGCCAGGTGTTACCTGTGGATTGGCGATCCCAACAGAACTACCTGCATAAACAAGGTGGCCTGGCAAACTGTCATCAGGAAACCACACGAAGGCGGGCTAGGTATAATCGACCCTAAACAAGAAGCGATCGCCCTCCAAATGAAATGGATAATCAAAATTGTAACCAAACAAACCCTCCCGTGGACCAAGATGGCGGTAGACAGCATAAGGAATTTGGCACCAATAGCATCCCCACCAACATGTGTGGCCTGTTCTGGATCATGGCAAAGGAATGGGCAAAATCGGGGAGACCTGCTAGGAGAACAAGCTCCGAGATCCCCAATCACCCCCCCACCCCGCCCATCCCCTACTGGTCACGGATCCTGAAGGCCTGGCGCCGACTGATGCCAGAAAAGAAAGGGTCCGCGAGCAACAAAGAGGAAGTCCTAAGACAGCCCCTGTTTTGCAATCCCTGGATTAAAGACACAGAGGGCAAACCATGGACTCTCCGGGCCAAAAAACACAGATGGTTGTCGTGGGTGGAGAAAGGAGTACGGCAGGTCAAACATCTGTGGTCTGCGGACTGACAAGCATGGCTAACCGAACAGGACCTCCGCACATCCTTAAAAGGATGCCACCTACTTACTGACCACCAACCTGTCAGAAACCCTTCAAAGCATTCCTCCCCCATGGACAACCCTCCTTAAAGAACCACACACGTGGAAACCAGGAGACTGAGGACTGCTCACCACACAGACCCCACCAACAAGAGCCTACCGCTTTGTGTCCAAATCGGACCCGACTAGCTACCAGGCCAAGTTCATATCTTACCCCATCATCAAATAGAATATATACGAACTAGAGGTCCTAAACAGAACACCATAGAACGAACAAATAGAAACCTACCTTCTCAGGAAGGTTAGAGTCTCTGATAGGAAACCCTGGATCATCTTCCAGTCGGAACTCAGCATTAAGGAGCTGGAATTATAGTCAAACAGAGCTGCCCGGTAAACCGTAGGCAGAGAGGGAGAAGAGGACAACAAACGAGGGGCTGTGGCAAACTGTTTCGTCGGAGTTTCA